TTAGGCTCATGTGTGAAAAAATATATAAATGAAAGTTTCTTGACCGGCAGTCCAAGAGTTGCTACACTAAGCAAAGTTAGAGAAAATTCGACCGCAGTGTCTGAAAAACATGCATCAAAAATGCCCAAGAATATTAATTTCGCTCAGATTAAGACATAAATAAACAAAATGCATGGTAGAAATCGGGCTGCATTTGTTGTATATGGCGGACTAGCACCTTTTAATTAAATGGTAGGAAGGGGATGTTTTAGAGTTACCGAGTATTTGTTTCTTTCTAAGGTCTTAAAATAACATTTAATGTTTAAAAAAGCATCAATGTTTTTGTAAATTCACTTTTTACCCAAATATATTCATTTTTAATGTTATCATTCAAGTTAAGAAGGTAAAATAACTCTTAAAACACCCTTCCTTCTTGCTATCAGTCATCTGGTAAAGAAAAAGGATTTTTTCCTGGGATTTTAGTATAATATATATGAGTAACAGCCTCAAAACCTTGAAAACCCAAAATATTTTTAAAATTCTATAAAAAATGCAAAATTGTGAATGCTGTTAAGAGGGCTAAAAAGCAACTTTCGGTAATAGAAAGAAATCCATTCAACCGTTAAATAACTGATTTGGCAAAGTCAAAGATGTCCTAACTTTTTTGGTACATAGTTATAACCCGTATATAATTTTCACCCTAAATTGTGGGTGTTGCGTTTCTATTGGCTGGGAGTATACTACTGCAACTTCAGAAATCTTTACAGGAATGCAGGTACATTATGATGATAAGAATAAAAATATGCTGTGGATAGTTGAAATTTTCGAAATATTTCAAATATGGTCATTATTTTTTAATTCACCGCAAATAAAACTAAAAATTCACACTCAGGTTTGTTATTTTATTTGAAGATTTTTCTTACCCTTGTGGCTCCATTTTGAGAACATAGTATCCTTTTGATCGCAAAGCTCTTCATCTATGACATCTTCCAGGTCTTTAGACATGTCAATTACCAAAATTTAGAACGCTCGTTTGCTGAGGTAGATTTGATGACAGGCGTAATACATACACTGTCCTCCGAAATCCAGGATGCTTAGAAGTCTTTTCTCCTCTATCTTTTCTGCATCGTCAACTGGAACATTTTCTTTTATATGGATTGCAGGATCGCATTTACGCATAGCAACTATAAAATTAAAAAAGGTAACAAATTTATTTAGTTTTAATGTCAGTTGCAATTTAAGTCTTTTTATCTTGATATGATTAAAAAAAAACCTCAGTAACTTATACAGAGACATGTATAAATGGTAAAGTAAATATGATATTAGTATATCGAAAGGTTTCTTTTTGGGGAGGGGTGTGTAAATTGATTTCTTCAATATTCATTGTTAATGAAATGCTTGTAGAATGATATAGAGATAACGAACAATATTCATTCTCAAAGTCCATATACCAATACAAAATAAGAGCAGAGCGCACAGGGACCCCCGAAACATCAAAGGTGGGATCAGGTGCCATGGAGGGGTGAGCATCCCCTGCTGACCGATCACAACCATCGTGTGCTCCTTGTCATGATCAGGACATAACGGGGAAAATCCGTCGTCAATTCAGTGTATAAATAATGGACTAACAATTGGTATGAAAAACGTCAGTGAGCATTTGACTCAATGATAAACTTTATTTGCTGACAAGGTCATTGTATCGACCATAGAACTAACGAAATAATGACTGCTGATATTCTTGTTTCGTCAACTTACATTGCTTGTCAATAATTTACCTCGTATTAGAAATTGTTCATAAGTAGAGCATGCTCTTGCGCATCGAATCAACCGAGATATATTTACTCCGTATGCAGGTGATGAAGGTAAATTACTGCATAAGTAACGATAGAAAAGTTAAAGTCATCACGTTTATCATAAAGCTTGGTTGTTAGATTACCATTAATGTCTTTTTCAAGTAAAATATCCAAGTATGAAACAGAAGTGTCGGACTCTGTGGTATCTTATCTCAAGCTCACTAGGATATATCGTATCGACGTAAGAATGGAAATTACCGTTATTAATTGACAATACGTCGTCGATATATCTAAATGTCGAGTTGAAGGCCACAGCAAGTGTTTTCTTCTTTCACGCATAAGATTTTGCGTAAATTCTGCTTCATATTAATATAAAAATAAGTCTGCTAATAATGGAGCACAATTTGTACCCATGTGAATTCTAATAGACTGTTGGAATACCTTGTCTCCAAAAACGACATAGATATTGTCAATCAGAAACTCAAGCATCTTCTTGATGTCAACTTCAGAGTACTTATTAGTGCAATCATAATCTGTTTTACCAAAATAATTTTGCAAATGACCAATGACGAGGTAAGTAGATTACAAGTTCCATTTGCATTGAAGAAGCAGCTGTCAATGATATCAAAAAGCCTGGATTTTAATTTTTCGTGGGGAATTACCTATTAACACAACTGATTTGTCATGCATATATAATATTTTTCACCTTCCAGTTTTCCTTCTTTTTCCAGTACTACAAAAATATCATTGTGCACATCTAGTCCCACAGTAGACTTGATTTTCTGTATATCTTCCAGTGATGTTCCTTGCAGTCTTTCTAATAAAGTTGTTTTTCCAGCTCCCGCACAACCAACTATCATTGCCCGTGCTCTATATATGAGTGTTTTTCCCTTTCTCAAGTACTCTAAGTACCGAATTCGGGCATCTAAATCCCATTGTAACACCTCTTCAGGGATTTTCACTGAAAAAGAAAAACATTTATTTTGAAATTTTCTTTAAAGGGAACGTTTGGTCAGAATTTAAATTTTTATATATAAAACTGTACCTCTCATATAAAAAGAAAAGCTGCATCTAATAACACTGCGCTGGATTTTAATAGCTTAATTGGAGCAGCATGGGGAAAACCTTATCATGGCCGCTGCTGACGTAGTGCAGACAGATTAAATGCCAGATGGCTAGAGTCAATGTGTTTATGACTGCAGAAAAATAAAATTCCTTCTTTCAGAAATAAGCTAATTTAAGCAATTGTTAATTTATAGGAATTAAATTAACATCCTTTTTTGACCCATTAGAACTTTAAAAAATTTGAATTAAAATCATGTAAAATAATACAACCTTTGCAGCTAATTTATTAATTACAGTTAAATCCGACCAGTTTATGGCTTTTTATTATTAATTCCTTTTTATTTTCCTGAATTCTGAAACACTAGAAGCTTAGGAATGTGAAATTATATTTACTCTAATATATTCAGATCCAAAATTAAACTGCACACACTTACATGTAATTGGCACATTTTCACAACTTGATTCCAACATGATAGTTTTTACACTTAGAGCCAAATGGCCTGCAATACACCATAAAAGTGAGGATTGTGGGAAATATTTAGCAAGCGCGATAACTTTATCTCTCAACATGGCAGCCTCCAGCAGCCAGTTTACTCATAACTTTGATGTCTTATTACTTTATAATTAAGTTAAAACAAATGGCAGCAACAGGTAGAATTCATTATTGACCATTCAATGAATGAAATATCAAAAAGATTTTTTTAGACCCAACGTTTCCTTTAAGTTGCTATCTTTCAGTCAATTTTCAAATGACATTAATTTTCCAGGGTTGTGTATCTTTCAACACTATTAAGAAAATTAGCTAAAAAGATTAAAAGTACAGATGAGCACGTACTAAGGGCAAAATGCAAATTATCTATTCTTTTAATTCACAGGTTTCGTCTATTATGCAAATTATCCCATGTTTCCCACTATCGTTGAAACAGCACCTGCATCGTTATTCTTGACAGGATAAACGATACGATAGGATACACGCACGATACGATAGGATACATGAACGATAGGACACGCACGATAGGATAAACGCAAAACACGATTCACGCAAAACACGATAGACCTGATAAACGATCTTCACGATAGGATAAACGCAAAACCTGATAAGATTGCTTCAAAATGCGGAACGTTTTCTGACAAGACGAAAAGATTATATTGTTTAGTTACTGCAATATTTTAATTTAAATACTTGCAAAGCTTCAAATCTAGATTATAAAGTACATCTAATTATTATGATTAAAAAATTTGAGATCACTGGTAATTTTACAAAAATTGTTTATCTATGTATATTTGTTTTGACAATGAATAAATGGATTAATATGAAATGAAGACTTTATTTTTTTTTATTTCTTCTCAAGGGGTGTGGTTTTCGATTATTTGTGTAAATGTTGCAATTCACATCTTAAGGTTGAACTATGACTCCTTTATAGATATTTTAACATACATGTGTTTGAACAAATATCCCTTACATAATAATTTGCCGTTTCTCACGGGTACTATTATAAATTTATGAAACTCTATAAATAGAATTATTTATGAAAAAATATATATTTTTACATAATAAATTTATTTACAAGTACTAAGTTATTTCAGGGAAGAAATTTACGCAATGAATTAAATATTTGTATTTAATGTCAACAGCTTACAATCTGCTGTGTATCCGAATATCGCAATTAAATATTAAAATCTTAGGGAAAATAATACATGTAAAAGACCGGCCCAAAGAAAGGTCCATAGAAATCGGCTTTAAAGAACTTTATAGTTCAAGAAAATTAATTTCCTGAGTAGAAATCTTAGTAATTGTAAATATAGTGGTGCTCTGCATAAATACATGTAAACTGTCTCAACAGAATATGAATCTGCTACAACAGCACGTACACGTACATGTACGTTTGCGCTAAGCTCTCACTTATGTACATGTAAACATTTGTATATCAGATACTTAAAACCTCGTATTAATTTACGAACATTGAATTATAAAATACTTTTCTTTTCTTTACAATGCAAAACACAAAAACTTACAAACAAATATTAAACTGGCGAAATGCGATTTTTCATTGCTGTTTAACTTTGTGTGCACTGTTTCTAATGCAGATGAATCGTTTAACCCTGAAAATTGTTTTAGACCCACCCTGTAATCTCATATACGGCATATTCGAAGGGCAGGATTTGAAAGTCCGTAACCATATTTTAAAAGAAGATAAACATGATCTAAACAAATAACCAAAAATAAGTTATATACGTATGGAATAAACTCGATGAATACTATAAATTGATTGGGTTCAATACATCTATTCGCATGCATGGTCACGGCGGAATCAGACTTCTTCTTTATTATTATAGTAAAATACCGTTGAAAAAAATTTATGCGAGCAAATTTTCATAGTTTAGAATGTTAAAACTATTTCAATCTTTTCTACAATGAAAGAAATTGATTCCTAGAATTAATCCTGTCTGTCAAACGATGAAAATCCGATGATCCGAGAGAAAACCCGATGATCCGAAAGTTCATTTACCATATGTGTAGTTTTTTTAAGTTCATGTAAAAACTTATTTACATAAAGATTATGGAAACATGGTACAAATAAAATAAATCAGCGGATTGAGTTAAGGGACTTTGTTTAATTAAATTGATTTATATGATTTTTTTTTATTTAAATTCAAGCAAGGAAATGATTTTTTTTAAAATCCATTAATTGTAAAATTATTTAATTGATTTAAAAAAAATATTTTATGAGTGTACATGTAGTTTGCACAAGCTTATGGTATAAACAGAATCCCGAAAATAGATACTGTGTGACTCAAGGTGAGAGAGCACTTCAGGTATGTTGATGGTGAACACGCACGGGCCGAGCTGTCATATATTTACATAAAGATTATGGAAACATGGTACAAATAAAATAAATCAGCGGATTGAGTTAAGGGACTTTGTTTTATTAAATTGATTTATATGATTTTTTTTTTATTTAAATTCAAGCAAGGAAATGATTTTTTTAAAATCCATTAATTGTAAAATTATTTAGTTGATTTTAAAAAAATCTTTTATGAGTGTACATGTAGTTTGCACAAGCTTACGGTATAAACAGAATCCCGAAAATAGATACTGTGTGACTCAAGGTGAGAGAGCACTTCAGGTATGTTGATGGTGAACACGCACGGGCCGAGCTGTCATTTAGGGGGATAGGGGATAAGGGGGAGGGGTGTTTACCGCACAGGAAGGCAATGTGCTGATAAGAGAGGTACACATACGTGTCAGTTCTTCGATTTGACACTCATATACATTATATTTTCAGTTTATTTCCATGCCGAAAGGTAAGCTGTTAAAAGTCATCATGTTTTTTCTTGTTTATTATTTTCAGATTATCTAATGCAAGATGAAATTAATGAAAAACTTATATTTTATAGTAACTGTCATGGTGTGTTAAATCGGGTACAGCTTTTTCATGCATTACATTATATAATGTTGTTATTTTCTAAAATGTAGACGTAATAATGAATTTCACTAATTAGAATGAGATGAAGAAAAATTTTAAAATTTGAGTCTATACGGACAAAATCAGTGTTAAAGATATCTGGATCATTGTCTGAAATGCTTCGTTATTTCATGTATCATTATTTTTTTTAATCAAGATTTTATTAATTGTGGTGGTGAGGGTGGGGGGTATATACCATTACTTACCGCAAATCAACCTTTAGTGACTCTGAATAATTCAAGAAAATCTTATTAATATTTAATTTTGACTGAAAAATCATACTATTCGATGAATAAAAAACAACAACAGGGAATCGATTATTTCATTTTCAAAAATTAATTTTGATTCTCTGCTTGACTATGATACAATTATTTTCTTAATTTAATTTATCATTAATTGTTTAACTTATTAATTATATTATTTATATATTTATTCTTTTCCTCCAACGCTTTAATATTTCTTTTCATGATGAAAAACTAAAAGATAAAACTTGCTTTTTTTCTTTCTTGGTTAAAATAATCTTATTTTAGTAAACAAAACGAAAAAGAAACTCGGAATACCTCGGTAGTTTCTTCTTGTAGTAAAGATAACAAGCGAGGGTTTCCGAATATACACGACAAATGCAAAACACGATACACGATAGAACCTGATAAACGATCTACACGATAAACGCAAAACACGATGAACGGAAAACACGATAGAAAACGCAAAACACGATAAACGGAAAACACGATAAGATGTGATAGGATACACGCACGATACGATAGGATTCACGCACGATACGATAGGATACATGCATGGCATGAAACGATAGATTTGTAAAGAATAACGATGCGGGTACTGTACCTTGGCATACTTTACTAACTCGACAGTGATTCCTTAAATATACACTTCGCAGCTCCTCGACACAACTGTTGAAATGTATATGTCATTCAGTCGATTGAATGGTAACTGAATGATCACGGAAAAGCTACGAGAAAGGCTCTTTTCAGTTACCTTTAAGTTACCTTCAGTGGGCATTCAGATACCATTCCGTCTACTGAATGGTGTAATTTCATTCTGTGTTGGGCAAAAGCATTTAGAAACTTATAGTTTATTAGTAAGAATTTGCTTATCTTCTACTCTTCCTAATGCATTAATTTGTGGAAAGTTGATCTTTAAAGATATTCCAAGACCTATTCACTTCAAGAGAGAAATATAAAGAAAGAGATAGCATGAAGAGAAAAGGCAGGGTACTTACACTGGCTTGAAAAAATAGAATGAAATGATTTATCATCCACGATATTATGGAGAAGTATATCTTTCCCAATCTCAGATATAATTCTGGTTAGTATCTGTTGATAAGGCGTCTCTTTTCCTGGAAACTGATTGTATATACCAGATTTTCCTATGGAATCTCCTAAACAGCGAACAAATTTACCTTTGTGGTAATTTTGCGATCTAAAATATTTCAATGAACTCTCTAGCGACACATTCAGTAACTGTCTCTTTATAAAGCGACTATGTTGACTGACAATTTCCCAATTGATATCCCCAAACTTGTTTTTAATTGTGGATTCTTCTTGACCATAAACTTTGCTCCTCTTCCAACATGTGTGCACGTAATCAAACATTGTTTCGTCGTGGACTACATCTGAAGCAAATGTCACATTTTCTTTCTCAATGGATACGAATCCTTTCGATTGCAGTGTTTGAATACTATCACTTATGTTCTCTGAAACGTCAAATGTCCCAATCATTTCTGATACTCTTTTTGCTAATGTTTCTGTCTTTTCCAGGATAAAGGTATTTTCATTGCTGCACAGAATGAGAAATAAAACAGAACGTTCCTCATTGGACGACTTTTTGTATTTATCTACAAAAATTATCAAAGTTTTATCATGCTAAATATAATTAAAAAAACAAAACTTTTTAAAGACAAGGTATTGAAAATAAATATATGACTATATTTATACCCCTCGATTGAAAAGTGGGATGATTTATAGTAATCGGGATGTCGATCTGTCCGTCCGTCTGTTACGCTTTGGGATACACAGCTCTTATCCGCAACTCCTCTCATACCACTGAATGAATTTTGATGAGACTTTCACAGAATCTTTATAACATATTGCCCTAATTTTACTTTATGATCCGACTAATATTTTGGGTTGCTTATAGCAAAACATGGACACTACCATTAAATTCATTTTGGAGGCAGGGGTATCGTTTGGTGAGCTCATTGCTCACAGCACCTCTTGTTATATATTCAGTGTTAATCACTAAAACATGTCTTTTTTGAAAAAAAAACCCAAAAATAAATATATATTTTTGAAACAAAAAATCGTTTTCTAAAGCATAATCATCCTTTTTCTGGTAATTTTCTACATTTAAGAAAAAATCTTAATTGATAAATATATTTATTTCTTGACTCAAAATGTGTTCATATGTAAAACGTTTGCATTTTTAAACATTATTTTTGCTTGCAAGTATATATTATGAAAATAAAGCTTTAAAAACTCATTCTGTCATGAAATTGGTAATCAAAGGCAAGGTCATTAACCTGTATTAATTTCGGGAAGAGGGGGGGGGGCTGTAATTTATATTCCAAAATAATTAGTTTAGCTTAATTTTGAAATACATGTACATTCCTTTTCTTCCTTTCAATTTATAAGACCTTTCTTATTGAAATATGTCGTATAAAAAAACTGACTAAAATCGATTTCTTATAAGATACATGTCTTCTTCATGATCCTGTTAATCCGTGCATGTTTTAATCAGTGCAAGTATTCTTTAATTTATAGAATTTGTATTATTCTATACTTTAACGTACTAGAAATATAATACATGTTTGCATGCAGTGGACAATGTTTGTTTTTTGCGCCTGCGCAATTCCAACGTTGTCAAGAACATAGTCCTTAAGCATTTCGTTTACGACTAGACTTACGCTACTTGGAGAAACGTAAATTACACCCGACTAGATTTTAGCGTAAGCCCCGGAAGTACACCTAAGTTAAAGCTTAACGCTACTCGTAAATAAGCATGGTCCGCCATATTTCCCGTACTTGAACGCTCTCCCTACAATCGGTATATAAGGAGCAAATTGCTAATCAGTTCAATGCACTCACTGTAGAATCCCCCTCCTTCTTAAATATTAAACCGTACACGGTAGCTCAGTCGGTAAAACGCTAGCTTCGTGATCGGGAGGTCGTGAGTTCGTATCTCGGACGCCACTGACCTAGTCGTTAAAATTGGTAGCAACTGTTCCTTCGCCATGCGCTCGGCACTTTGAAGTAAAAGTTGCGGGTTCTTAGGATGAGACCTTAAAAACCGAGGCCCTGTGTCAGCGACAGGCGCTGGCACGATAAAGATGCCTCACTGCTCAATGGCCCTGAATGCCAAGTGTAGGTTAAAATTTGAAGCCCTTCATCGGAATACGGTGACGTCTCCAATGAATGTAAAATTCTCGAGAGGGACATTAAACAATATACAATCAATCAATCAAAATGATGAACAATACGAACAATAGGAGGGGTGATCAAAAATTTCGCAAATTAATAGAATAACTTCCATTAAGGAAAAACTATTTCGTTTCAGTTTGATTATATTTTAAATAAGTCCTCTCCGATTTCATTGCACATCTGTCACCCTTCTGCTTATGCGATAATTACGTGATATAGGCGTTTATGTGATACCCTCCTTAGCGTTCTGTCAGAAAAGCAGAAAGATTTTTCTGCGTTTTATATTTCTTTCCATGTAAATTATTTTTTATAACAAGAACAGTTCATATGTCAGAAATGGTCCAATCTCTGCAACAGAATGATTGAATACGAATATCCTTTCCAAAAATAAGCATGAAAGAGAGAAAAAGAAGACCGAGAATATCAGCTAGAGATGGAACGCATGTACAAAGATACGTAAAATGGAGTTCAAAAGGAAACATCGTGAATATTATATGAAATTCATATGGAGTTCAGTTCAATATACAGGTACGCGGGTATATTAAAGCAGCACATGGACAAGAATGTGGCGAATTAAGACTTTTTTATAATTAGGTTACACTAATAAATCGGAAAAGTCAAGCATAAAACTTTTGTTATAATTATGCATTCTATAGACTTCAATGGGACTTATACTACATGAAGCATTTCACCACGACGTCACCACGTGACGTCTATAATTAGAAAATATGCCTTAATGAAAAAGTGAAAAGTTCAACACTACCCCGGGGATAATTAATTTTAATTTGTAATAATAATAATGTAAAAACATCTCTATACCATGAAAAGTGCTGCTAGAATCCTACTGTCCTATCACAGAAATAATTATTCAACACTTTCTGACGAAACCTTCCCAAAATTTTTACATTTTGTTCATAACATCGAAAAAAATGCATTAATTCCCGTAAACCATACGATTCTAGCAGCACTTTTCAAAAAGAATAGAATAAGAACTTTAGATAAAAATAAAAATTAAGTTTATAAGTTTGCGGCGTAGTGTTGAACGTTTGCATCTTATTTGTTACGAACGACAGAGGAAAGGCTGATCGGCAAGTAAACACCCTCCCTGCTTTAATTTTTCGAAGAAAATGGTTGAAGTATATTACCATACCTTATTCATAAGCTTTATTCTCACATGAATCACACATGATATTCATTCTAAATGCTTTTAAACTCCGATTTCTTGCGTTTGTTTACATGAATCCTCGTTAAGTTTCACTTTCACTCTGCTACTGCATGAACAACAGTTATGACGTCACGGGTTTGGTATTTAACTCCTGTGATAACTACAGAGACCCAAAAACGACAACATTCTGTTTGTATAATGCCTCTGCATATTTTGATTAATTCTTATGACCTCAAATCAATCTTAGATATCGATTATAAGAAATTGTTATCTCTAAACTTCACGTGATATAGGTTACTATGACGTCATATCATATAGGCAAGTAGAATATTTGATTGTAACCTTAACCTACCTGTGTATGCTAATTTATTTTCATCGATTATATTCTCATTCGAAAACAGTTAGCTATATAACGTATCCCGGTCTGCCCTTCCACTGTCATTCGTGACAAAAATAATGCGATAGAACAACAATAAGCTGGATATTTCAAAACATAAGATTTGTACAGATGGAAAGTTTGCCCACTGACAAACTTGGAAAGTGCTGCTAGAATCCGGACTTAACCATTGTTTTACGAAAAATCTCGGTTCATATGTATAAAATTTCAAAAATAATAAAAGTTTCGTGTGAATATATGAAAGAATTATTTTATTGACAGGACAGTGGGATTCTAGCCCAGATAGCAAGCTGACGTTGGGCCGATGTTGGCATGTGGTTGGTAGATCGGCTACATATCGCAGTTGGCAGAACGATATTGGGCCAACATCGGTCTGACATTGTCATTACAACAATCGGTGTATTGACATTGTTCCAACATCGGTCCGACATTGTAATTACAACAGTTGGTGCATTGACATTGTACCAACATCGGTCCGACATTGTAATTACAACAGTTGGTGCACTGACATTGTTCCAACGTCGGGCCAACATCAGGCACGTAGCATCGTTCTCAAAAGTGGGGGGGGGGGACATAGAATTTTATTTACTTACCTGAAAAAGTTGACAAGCAAAAGGATGGGGGTGGTGGTGGCCAACATTTTTCAAGGCCAACTTCCTTTCACTTCCATTTTTTTTTTTGCTATTTTTCCTTGATTTCACTATCGCCCCCCCCCCCCGTTGCTACGTGCCTGAACATTGTTATTTTTAATGTTGAAGTATGGACATCTTTGTAATGTTGGGCCGACATCGTTGAACCAATGTTGCTATGTAAACTTATGTTGAAACGTTTAAAAAAATATTTATTTAATTTATTTTTTTTTATTCTTTGTTTTTTATTAATTGCTAGTTATTTAACCCTTATGTAGATTTTCAAAACTATGGAATAACACTTAGATTTTTCTCTAAAACTGTCGGCTAATAGTACAATTACGTCGGGATCGAAGTCGGGCTCGATAAGCAATTAATTTAAACAACACACCGCGCCGAAATTTAAATTTTTGGTGGGTCACACGCAGCCAGGCCATGTTGATGTTGTACAGAAGGAAAGTTCGGAAGAGAGTGTCGCGAAAAGGAGAATCATGACTAGTTTTGGATGGAATTTCTGTTTTGACAGAAGATGAAGACATTTTACGACCCGGTACTGCGGTAGGTAAAATGTACAAAATATTTTAACATTTGTCCTTGAATGAATAATTGCTTTTGCGATTGTTCCTTAGTCAGGACATTACACATAAAACGCCTTGCAGTGAAATCATTTGAGCATGCGCTATTTCAATTTTGTTATAATAATTTAACACTTCTAAACATCTCTCATAAAGATGGATTTCAACCCGAATTTCCTCGTTTGGGATCGATTCAGGAATTTAAGTGTTCCTCTCTTCAATATTTACAGAGTATGTTGTACAATTTAATAATATATATTCATTTTTAAATGCATGTTCAAGATAATTTTCAGCACTTATTTTGATTATTTAATAGTTGCATGCAGTGGACTGTGCCCGAGACGATTCCCTAAGCGCCGGCGAGTTGTCAGCTTGTAAAAATGGTGAGAACCAGCTCAATTTTTTTATTTTAAAGTAACACAAATAACCTAACATTGTTTTTATTAACTTGTATCTTTAAGCATAAAACTATAAAAAATATTGCATCTACTAAAGTAAACAAGAGGTTTATATTCATAATTTTTAATTTCCTTATCCTAAAAATACATAACAATGGATTCTGACAGGTAATCTAAACAGTGGCGGATTTAAGGGGGGCGCAGTGCCGCACCCGGCGCCCCCCGGGGGCCCCTAAAATTGTCAAAGTTAGCGTAAATCACAGTTTCGTCTAGAAAATGTAAATATGTCTAATTGGTAGACCTCATTTTTACACTACAAAATCGCTAGAATCCAGGAGCTTCCGGGGGCTTCGCCCCCTGGGCCCCACTAGGCGGCCCCCAGACCCCTTGCCTAATTTTGCCAAAATAAAAACAATGCAAGATAGTGAATTTCTATTTTACACTATACTGAACTGTCAGGTTGAAATAACCAATTGTCTTTATAGTCTTGTAGAGCCTTACTTTATTATTTGTCATATATTTTTGTTTATATATGCGATAGATATTGATTATAATACATCCTAATGGTCATCTTTTCTTTCAGAAATTGTGCCTGCAAAGTTTGAAGTGACTATGGAAATGATCAATATTGAACTTTCTGAACCTTCCTACTTAAAGTGAATCCGTTCGTGACTGACATGACCATTTATTTGGCTACCCTCTAACATAACGCCATATTTTATGTGTTTATTATTGTGAATTTCATGGGATATCAGTGAGGAAGTGATTCAAGCAGATACTTGAGAAATTTCGGATCTAACTTAATTAGGATCTTTGGCATATTCGGTGAAAATAGCATGTGTTGATTTTATGGGATCTTTTTTATTAATGTAGTTGTGTAGTTGAGATTTTGTACTTAATACCTGTGTTTGTCACTCTAGTCTATTCATTAACTTTGTACGGTAAATGTACATGGGCAACTGGAAGTTCTTTGTAACTGCAATTGACCTCTCCCAATGTCATTAAGTCAAATGCCATATTTTTAAAAAAAGAAATAGTTTTTTTATTACAAAGAATGTCGATCAGTGAGAATACTTTGAAAAAATGTGCTTACATTGTACATCTATAAGTGTATATGTAATATATATTTGTTTCAAAACACATTGTAAAAGAAACGAATTTTTAATTTTGAAATATAGATTTGATCTATGATAAATTGTGATGTTATCATTATTTCAGTTTTCATTGTATATTCCTGGAATTTCTTATATTTCCATGGAATTCCATAGATTTCTTAATATCCTTGTACAAAAATATGTTGGGACAACATTGGACCAACATCAGAATTGTAAATTTTGTATGACATTGGGCCAATGTAGCGCCAACATGTCGGTGCAACGTTGCGTCCATGAGCAAAATACAATGGCCCAATATAAATTTTCCGACATTGGGCCAACATAACTGACAACAGTGGCCCAACGTTGGACCAACGTCAGAATTATCGTTCTATGACATTGGGCCAACGTTGCGCCAACATGTCGGCGCAACGTTGCGCCGATGAGCAAAATAACATTGGCCCAACATCATTTTCCGACATTGGACCAACGTAACTTACAACGTTGGCCCAACATTGGGCCAACGTAAGCTTGCTATCCGGGAGCAGCACTTTTTAGGCAAATTAGATGTTTTTCAACTATATTATTTACTCAAAGAAAGTATTAATCTCCGGGGTATTGTTCTGTTCGCCTTTTTATTAAGGAAAATTTCGCTATTAATAGAAGTCACTTGATGTGGCGGTGATGTACGTCTTTGCGTTAGACACTCTTTTATCTGTTTGCAATAGTTAATAACAGTTTACGTTTATCAGTGGTTTTGGTAATTGATCAAACTTATTTTTCTTTAAAAAGTCTAAATTTCCTGAGAACTGACGTACATGCTTACTTAACATACCCGCGTAACCTTTCTCAACATAGTCACCGTTTAACTCTCATGTCTTATTTCTTATGTCGCTGAACAACTCATAAATATGTGAACAAAATGTTCAGGTTTCACATGTAAAATAATATTTAACAGTGCCTGTCTAATATCCTGTGATCATCTAACATCTGTCCACGTAAAAACGATTTTATCTGCGGAAATAAGATAAAGTAACGTTATGAAAGTCATTTTTACGTCACTGCAATCTCGGAATGATGATTTCCTTCACGCATGTAATCCAATAAACTGTTCTTTCCGTCCGAAAATATTATAAGCCACTTAAATACTAATATGCGGCTTATGTTTTCCTGATTGTTTACAAAAATGTATTGGTCTCCGTAGGTGTTTATCCGATGTCTACGCAGAATTTTATCACTGCTCACTGCTCCACCTATTCCAAGAATGTACTTTTTTGGTTCAATTCCGATCCGTCGTAATAAGTTCTAACTTTGATTGCTCAGGTATTTTACAACTTTTAACCTTCAAATTTTGCACGTTTGACGTGATAGCTTCTATCAACCTCATAATATAAAAGTCATTCATAATTCCGCAGAAATTCATAAAATAAAAACGAAATATACAAAGTGATATATAATTTTTTAATTAAAATTTTGCGGTGCTCCGGGTCTTCCAAGTCAATTATGAAGCAATAATTGAAAATAAACATTTGAACTTGAATAAGATTTTACATTTTTCAATTCACATTTAGTAAAGGATTAGAAATATGCTTATAATAAATATCAATGACGCAACTTTTATTTAATTCTTAGCTTGTCCACGAACTTTACGAACAACCCTCGTATCTTTAATTGAAATAGCAAAAATAGCAAACGATAAAACATTTATTTACCTGAAATTTCTGTTTTCCATACTTCATAGCCATCAAGAGATATACCAACTGAAAATAGATCAAATCTATCTATATTATTGTGAACAAACAAAAACACTTTCTTATTTTTGGAAGTAAAGGATCAATGTCTGATTAAGAATTTTATGAGAAACTTTGTAAAAGATTCACCAAAGTAGGGATATCTATAATTCAAGTTTGACGCCGCATGGGGAGGAGTAATGATCCGGTACCTTCCGATTAAACAGCAAGCGCCGTAATACTACTGCATGTACAAATAACTTAGAAAAACGAACTTTTCTGAACAAAATTTCAAGCAATTCGTCTACCCAGTAAAGAGCATTATCGGTAAAATAAACAAATACGGATGCAAATTTCCAGTATTGTATATTTCCTAAAATTACTTCAATCTCACCTATCTCTAGATTTTCCCTTCTTTCATTTTCCTCCCGCTGTTCTCTATATTTGATTATCAATTCTTTAACTTCTTCATCGCTGTAGCTTTCTGAAGAGGTAATGTATTTCTTTTTAAATATTGATATTTGAAAAGGTAAACAATATAAAATTATTCAAAGCAACATTTAGTAATATCCCCAAAACAACACATTGTGATCATCTCCAAAAAAAATTGAAGTTAAATTTTAACAAAAGCCAAAGAATTGTTGAATCGTCGGCTTTGGAATTTTAAAAGACTTCACCTTTTATATAAATCTTACACAAAACATGTTGGTATATTGCCTCTCTAACATAAGAGCGCGGGGGATTTATCAATAAGCATCCTAAATCAACATTAATCCCATATTTTCAAAAAAAAAAAATGATTTTGATACGTAAATGCGTTTACAATGTAATCGTTTTATTAGTAAAGCACCTCTACGAAGTTTAAAATATTTTATTTTCAACACTACCAGTCTCAAATTATGGAATGCTGCTGTTATTAGCAGAAAAATAATTATACACTGTCAACGTATGGCAAGGCCTAGCAAATTATTGTGATGGAAATAATACAATTTTTTCTCTATTATTTCAGAATCCGCACCTCAGACTCATAAATTTGTGAAATATATTTTTACAGTATGAGGAAACTTTTGCATTTTATTAATTAATGATTGCTACAAATTATTGTCAACCTGTATGTTCGCATAAAATTAAAGTTTAAAAAACACAGTATTAGCTCTCATTTTTATAAAATTGTCTACTTTAAGTATGTATCAATCAATCTTCAAAGAGAGTTTCACTTGGTTTTGTAGTCTATAAAGAGTGGTGTGGGTAAAAAAAAAAAGCAGTGGGGGACTTTAATTTTCAAATCTTATGTACACTGTTTTTATCATATTCCTAAACACTTCATAGTTAGACAAAGACTTCTAGTAATGAAAAGTGATCAAGCAGATGAAAAAACAAAATGTCATTCACAATACATGAATCATAATATATTCTACTTAGAAGAAATGTTAAAATTATCAGTTTAACGTTTTTTCACGTTTGAGGAATATTTTTTCCGATATTAGATAAAATATATGTTCATTTAAATTGTATTTTAATTAGTCATTTGAAAGCAAGTAACTTTGAACATTTAAAAAATACTATTCAAAGATAAGTCTACAGGCTTAAATTTGACCTAATATGAATGTTTTTCAGTTAGGATTCTTCTCAAATATCTTATAATTATAATTAAAAAATAATAAAATTTTTAACAGAATCAAGAAGACTATGCAACTACGTATCAGTAAGATTAAGTTTGGCCGTTTTTTTTATTAGAGGAAAGGTCTGGTCAATGCCATCACCTTTCTCCTGGACATTAAGAATAAAAATTACTGCCGCCAATCATACGATGCCTACTCGCATTTTAAAAGATTGAAAGTTTTTTTTGGCATAAAATAATACTATTTTAGGGCATATAAGATTGTATTACCAAATTGGCATTACTAATTTAGCTAAAATGGATATTTGATAATCTGAAGTTCCTCTACTTACTTAAATTTTTAGGATATACACATGTATTAGTTATTTTTAAATGCTTTCTATATATATATATATATTTTCTTATTTTCTCGTATGGTAAAGTTGTCACATGAAGATACAAAATGATACAAAAACAGAAAGTGTTTATCGTTTACTAAGAGAGGAAAATCACTGTTTACGGATTTTTGGCTCAAATTTTTGCTTAGATTGGAAGCTGTTGCATATCAATAAATCTGACCATGATCTTGGAGGTTGACCTACTTTTTAAAAATAACATTTACCTTGGCCATAACGTTTGAAGGGTAAGGGCTAGATCTTTCATACATCACATATGTAATACTTGTGAAAAGACCTTTCTTAAAAAACCAACAATTTGATCCTTTGACCTTGGAGTTTACCTACTTTTCAAAAACTTATCCTTGGTTATAATTTTTGAACAAGTGGTGTTAGGGCTTCCATATATCAAAATCATATTTCTTGTGAGAAGATCCTTCTTTGAGTACACTATATTTAATTTGTATTTAAGAAAAGTTTAATCTTTGCTATGTTGCAGTACGGGTCATCAGTGTTTCACAAACACATCTTAAAGGATAAGGCTTTCATATTTGACATGAGCATTACCTGTGACAAGATATTACAATCGAGCATGCTATTATTTCTGACTCTTTGACCTTGACCTTCACGCCTGCCCTTTGTTTTAAGAAATTCAACTTCGATGATAATTTTAATGACATAATTATGAAAATGCGTTCATATTTGACACAATACTATGGTAGTATGTCATAAAAAATAATCTTTGAATTTGCTTGTTTGATAATTTAAAAATTCGATCATTATCATTTTAACATACAATTGAAAACAAATCAAGTCTTTGATTGTGAAAAAAATCAAACTAAATTCATTGTTCTATAAATATTTTGAGAGGCAGTATAGAATATTTTCATACGCCATCATTCCGCCAAAAACATAGTCCCTGCTAGTTTTCATCATCAGTTTACCATTTCTAATTAAAGTTGTACAATCGTGATGAGGAAAAACATACATTATTTTATATTTCCTAAGGCTGGTATACATGATAAGATTTATAGTATAATGCAAGTTTTACCATACTTTTGTATTATTAAATCTTCCTGTACTCACGCTAATACATATCTTATAAGATTGTTAATAAACTACGTATTCCAAGGTGTTTTTCCCAGCCATATTTCTCTCTCTGTGTCAAAATAATAAAAATAGAGAACGAGGCTCTGAAAGCAGTGTCTATCATCGTACTATTCACTGCTTGATATATTCCACAAGTCTTTTTCCCCTTCCCATAAAGCCACGATTTTTGCGATATCTTTACTTGTAAAGTCTATCATTATAATTTACCATGTGCTGTTTGGAAATGATAAAAATAGAATAACCCCTAGTGTCATTGCATTTCATTGGTTGAATGTGATAGGTAAGCTAAGACTTGTATTAGAAAATAGAGCATTGCTATTTTCTTAATACAGTTTTATAAGGTTCGAAAAATCTTATGATACACTGTTTTAAGAGTGTATACACAGTAAGATTTTGTATTATAATACAAATCTCAACATACTAATCTTACCGTGTATACCGGCCTTTACACCTAAATAAATAAATCATATAAATAGATATATAAGTTGAATATTAAAACTAGTCAGAAACTAGAGAAAATTATTTCAAGAACACTCAGTCTGTAATATGAATTCAAAAATTATAATCTCAAGTACAGTCTCACCTTTATCAAGCTTTACCAAATCGTCTCCATAACTGTCCTCCTGTTGTTTTAAATGAGTGTTTATTTTGTCTGAAGCATCTTTATCCAATGATGAATTTGCTTCTTTGCTAATGTCGTCCTTTGAAGACTCTAATGTATGCCTGGTTTCGTCTAGACAGAGTACGCAGCTAGGATAAGGCTGCCCGTAAAATATCAAAATGTTCAAACTGTAGTTACTTCTCTGAACTACCTAGATATGACGTCATAATGGAATATGACGTCAAGTCACTGCATACTTGAGCTGACATGACGGGGAAAGTGTCATAATTATTACACGGCATGTAGATTTATTATGGGGATTTGTGTTTAATTTAAGAGTAAGGGTTGTTTTCTAAGCTTGTGTGTGCTATTATATTTGTTTTACATTTGATATTTAAATGTCTATATTCCTTTTGCTTGTCCAATATGCATACATTCAAGCAATGACAAAATATTATGTTTGAAACTCTCCCCTTACACTTCCGTAGACAGAGATAGAATTTATGAATCGTGTTTATATTGGACTGGCACAAGTGAAAGACAAGGATAAATTGAAGACATTCTGCATGAATCTACAAGAGAAGTATGTCTTCTAACTGAATTTTGCTGGGGGATCGTATGTAGTTGATCCATTTTTGTATAAATCGCGATAAAGTGTGGAAAATACCCATCTTTACGTTGGTAATTTTAATTTATCGTAAAATATTTTCTTAAGAGGTAAAAATGAAACCTGCCCCAGCACTTTTTATGTACCAGGGATAACGATTAATTGATCAATGTAACAAACTTTGCACAATATTTTCGTTTTGCACTTGTGCCGAGACGATTTTTGTGCAACACTTAAGAATATAAAAAATGTCCATCACGTGATCAACACAGTCATCTGACATCACAAAAATGCTTTATTATAAAACCTGATTAAACTGTTATCTTCAGTTGACTGCAATTTCAAACAAGGATCACATATCGAAATTAAAATCAAGCTCAAAATTAAATGTATATTTTTAAGACATTTTAAGCCTTCGGACAGCCTTATCATAACTGCGTATTTCGTCCTGGTTTTCTACTACACAATCTGAAAAGGATTTATGGTGAATAGACTTCTGTTCTCCTTCCTCTTCCTCAAATTGTTCTCTGTTTATTTCATCTACAGAGGAAAATTTGACTTAAGAAGACTATTGATATGTTCATAGGTTTGTTTTAGAAGCATAAGCTGATTCAAATACGAGAATTTGTTGTTTGGCTTACGATTATACCTGTATTAACAGACTTTCCGAATATATAATAAAAGTATCCAGTTATAATTATGAAATCTGGGGTGAAACATATAAATGAAAATGCTTCTTTTCTTAACATTCTATACACATTATTAGTAAACTGTCTTCATTAGTTGTAAAGAATTTTTAGTTTTTACTACATTCATAATGAAGCCGGTTTTAAAACTTTTTTCAAGTTCCAGCATACTGAAACCCGAAACCTTTGTCTTAGAATTTTTGAATAATTTCAATGATTTTGAAAACAATCCTTAGCGTGTTTTAATACATTTCATGTTCAACTGGGCATATATGGTGCAGGGCAGAATAATTTTCTCAAATTTTGCTATCAATTCAATCATGATTATTGACGAAAAATTAAGGGTAAAATATATTCATCTCAGTTTAAGATTGAACTTGTCTTGTTTTCGTGGTTTTGTATACATTTTATTAAAGAATTATGTGATGATAAACTTTGCATGAAATATTTCTGTTACACGTTCACAAACCTAATATTGTATTCCGTCAGACATGACCCGAAGTAATCTACTACTAGTAATCTAGCAATCATAATATAATACATTTTGGACTTATGAATTAGAAAATAACAAACATGTAGATCTGTCTCCAAATCTATATTCTTCGTCCAATGCTTTTGTATTTGCCGGCAAAAGTAAAGATTCCTCATTCAGCTCTTGGTTCCCTTCACTTTCCTTTATCTCATCTTTATACTCTATGAGTGGAATTTCTTCTACAAACAAATTAATTATTTACTATATGCATTTGTTGTTCTAGATTATAATATATACAATAGAAGTTATTAACATTCTCATCTTCAAATTTTTTTCTAGTTTCCTATCATTGACGAGATGTAACAGAAGTCAAAATCGGTAAGATAAACAAGTACTATGCTATCTTGTTTATGTTAAATTTAGATGTCTTTCCAATAAAAGGCACTGAAAGGCGGAGCATTACTATTACACCAAACGTATTGGTTAATTAAATGAGCACTGCGAAAAGAGATACCTTTCTGACATAACTTTTGAACCATTAATAAAACAGGACAATATACATGCAGTAAAATATAAAGCACATTGTTTCTGAAAAATTAAAATTCACGTTTACTATGTTTTTCTACATAACCAATTATGAAGTTGATTTGCTATTTTGTTTTACACTCACACATATAAATATACATAGAAAAACTCGCGCTAAAATGGTATCACAATAGGGCTACAGAGATATTAATTAAATTCTAAAGTATAACGATATAGGGCAGCGAGAAAATTTGATAATTTGAAAATGTAAGCGCTATCTAAAACAGAGGCACATGATAAAGTTATTTAAGGAATATCTTTAACTTATGTGTGCGTTATTGGTGTTTCTTTCATACAGATTTGTCAGGTAGGCATATTAAGATAAAATAGAAATAAAAAGTTTATTGAATATATATATGACTACATGTAAGTCTGTGTGATTCACACACCAATAATGCACACGAAACTTTTTTAATGTAATTTTATTTACATATTTTACATGCTTGAAAGCAACTAAAATTTACTCAGTATTTGAATTCCTTGCTACCCTATATCGTCGCATTTTTACTAACGTCGCTGCAACCTCATTTGTGACTTCATGTTAACGCATGGCTCTTCGGGTATATTTCTATTTTGAGTATACACAAAAAAGTGTTCAAATCAATTTCACTGTTTGTTTTGTAGACAAACACTGAAAATGTGAATATTGTATTTTACATTCACAATTTTATACTGTAAATGACATGAAAATAACATTTACCTGTGTTCAAAAATTCTCTTTCTCCCGACCTGTTCATTTTAAGGAGAATTGTCTCCTCCTCCTCCTTTTGCCCCTCTACAATTCAAAAGAAAAATAAGAGAAGGACTGTACAGAATCATTGAAGTGTTAATTTAAACTAGACATGTATATTCCTTTGTTATTTCCCTTATTGACAAATATGCTATTAATAAAGTACAAGTTTGAACTTAAAACCTATCAATAATAATCATTTTAATTAGATGAATCTGTTCAAAATCGAAATAAATACGTCCTCATACTTTAGTTTAAAAGTTAGCTACTCTATTTATCTAAGTAACTTAAATGTTCTAGCTTATGTTATATTTTATCATTTCAGAAAAAAATATATACAGTTTATGTTTATATAAAAGTCTTCACCGCCTACAGTCTCCTGATTTCTTCTTCTGAGGATGAATATAATCGCGCATACTAGTGTGAATACAATCAGCACAAATACTCCTATAACTAGGATCCAAACCCATGTATAATTTCTGTCGATATCTGGGATGGGGGTACTTCCTAAACTTGTATTCAAGATGGTCGATCCAAAGTAGCCGTTTGTTGTACCTTGAGTGATTTTGGTTTCTAAAGGTCCAATGGTAGCAATTCTATTCAACAGAAAAAAAACATTTCTAATTGAATCTGCATGAATTGTAAATCAGTCTATCCTGCATATTTTGTAACTGTGTAAGAACCAATATAACAGGACCGTCTTATATATGATTATATGTAATCTTTGAGCTTTATGAAAATTAATTTTCTTTGGACACAAAAGTACTGCACTGTGGCTTAAACAGAAATTGATCTCAATCACACACACATGATGTACAGAGATATGTAGGAAGAGACAGAGAGAGAGAGAATAATAGAATGTATGTAAGGAATCTTTTACTTACATAAGAACAATCTTTTCTACATGTAAATTTTAGAAATAAAAGGTTTCTTTACCTTTGACACTTTTCAACATGAAATAGAACAGAAATTTAATAAGAGCCTAGTGAACTTAACTATGAGTAATTATTAAATGATTTTTTATTTTATTTTTTTTTTCATATTATTTCTCCTGGCACAATGAAATACTAATAACATACCCTTCATTTTTACAGAGAGGCTCATCAAGAAAACATCTACTTCCAATAGATAGGCAACTTGGATCTTTAAAATGAAATTATTTAATGATATACAATTTAAATAAAAAATGATTCGAAGAAATATCATATGCTTAACATTAAATCTTAAGTATACGTATTTAAATAATAAGTCAATTTTATTTCTTAAAGATATTTCTAGATTTAAATACTCAATATTATTTATACCCACACTTTCTAAAGAAAGTTCGGGTATATTGTTGTTACTCATGTCCGTCCGTCTGTCAGTCTGTTTGTCCGTCCAGAAGTCCGTCCGCCTGTCACACTTTTCTTCCCTGAACTCCTCCTACATTTTACACAATAGCTTAATCATCTTTTGATGAGATGGTTGGTGGTGTCATATAGATGTGCGTTAAGGTTTCGGAATTTTGATTTTACCCTGGGGGGTCAAATGGGGGTCGAAATTTTTTTTTCGCTTAAAGCCCCGTCTTCCCTGAACGCCTTCTGTATTTTACTCAGCAGCCTAATAATCTTTTGGGAGATGGTTGGTGGTGTCATGTAGATGTGCAGTAAGGTTTCGGTATTTTGATTTTGCCTCGGGGGGGGGGGTGTCAAATCAGTAGCCTGATAATCTTTTAAAAGTGTTAAATATTTGAAAATTAGGTAAAACATCAACATCATAGGATAAAAAATCATAGCAAGCCGCAAAACATCTTGAATTCTTAAGAGTAATGTACATGTCAATAAAAAAATTGTGAAAGTCATATCTCTCCTCAATCAAAAGGTATAAGCAAATGCAACATTTTGAAAAGTAGGTTAAGCTTCAAGGTCAAGGTCACAGATTCATAATTTATTTGGAAAAGACTAATCATAGGTAATAATATACATGCATGTATGATACGAATTCTTTCAAAATGATGAATTTAAAACAATGTAATTATTTTTCAGGTAGGCCAAACTTCAAGGTCATGGGTAAAAAGTATTTGATAGGGTTACCATGGTTACAGTATTTGAAAAGCTTTTTTTCATGCAACTTTTTGAGAAAATGTATGACATATGTATCCGTTAATGAAAAAATACCCCGAATATTTCAGAAAACAGTATGATTGAAAATAGTTAATCAAGGTTTACCGATGGGACACTCGGATTCTAGCAGCACTTTTTAGGCAACATAATATGTTTTTCAACTATACTATTCATTCAAAGAATAATTATTGAACTCCGGGGTATTGTTTTTCTGTTTGCTTTTTATAAGGGAAGCTTTTGCTTTTAATAGAAGTAACGTGATGCCATGGTGGTGGTGCACGTCTTTGCGTTAGACACTCTTTTACCTTTATGCAATAGATGATAATAGTTTACGTTTATCAGCGGTTTTGTTAAATTATAAGACTTAATTTTCTTCAAATTAGTCTAAATTTTCCAAGCAATGACTTATATGCTTCCTAAACATACCCTCGTGTACGTATAAAACGTACATTGGAAGATTTCATTACTCCAGTACTGCTTATCTGGACACCCATTTCTAAATTGTTTACAGCTGTAGGCTTCAACAAGAGACGTTGTTTTCTTTAGTATCAAACAAATATCTAAAAGAAAATGTTTCAATCTATAATGCTTTAGATGTATTATTATCATTAATTATAAATGAACAAACGTCGGGAGACATTTATTTTTAAAATAAAAACCAGAATTCTCTGTCGAGACTTTAGCTCTACTGATTTTTACTTATAACAATGGGAGAGAAATGTAGCTGTTGGGACTAGAAACTTTATAACAGCAATAAAGAGAATAATGATCCTTTAAGTCTTTTGTGGCAAGATTGTAATAAGACTTCAACTATAGGAGTTGCTTTTAAAAAGAATTTTAAGAATTTTCTATTTTAGTTACCGTGGCATCATCCAAATAAAAAAACGATAAAGACAAGAATTATTATGTATCTCAGCGTAGACTACTTACATGCCACTTTATATTAAAATCAGACTAAAGCTGTTTCTCCAGTAGCAGTTTGAAAGACTTTCACAGAAACTACTATTTTAAGAAACCATGGCAACACTGTTCATCGAAATCAAAACCGATATAGATAATTATGAATATTATCGCAGTAAACATGTGGTGTGTGCAAAGCTATTTTGAACCGAGACCAAAACTGCAAGAGGAGAAGAATTTCGAGATATTGTTTACGCACAGACAGAGAGACGGACGACGGATACACTGCTATCGCATAAGCTCTCCGGTTCCTGACCTGTAGAGCTAAAAAAAAACTCATGTTTTCACATACAATCAATAATTAATGTATCATCACATCAAACTAGAAGAATTCAATTAGTATACTGAGTTAGTATACTGGACTATAAATCATAACTATCAATAATTTAATAATGACAACAAAGTTTAGACTAAGTGTTAGATTTTTCCTAAAATAAGCTTAAGATTAAATTGCCAGTAATGTTTTACACTTTTCAATAGGAATCCTTGGATGTCTGTAACAAAACTCCAACAGCTGTGTAATGTTCTCGTTAGGTATACACATGTATCCATTACTCTCTGTACAGTTTATGTCATGTGACCTATTTCTCCATCCTGATTGGTTCCTGGGACATGATGTTGTAGTGTACACAGGGAATGAAAAACCGTCCAGTTTACCCTTATAATGAGAAATGGATTGCAAATTTGAATCTTAATAAAAAAAAAACACAAACGTTCTATTCAAACGCAGCGGTTTTCCACTTCAATACGCTTCAATTTATCAAATTGTTACTAGGGTACGGTAGTGTAATTTCGACCACGTTGTTAATTTCGACCGTTCATAAATACCTTACATATTTTTGTTTATGGCGTATAGTTGTGTATCAACATTAATGTTATGCACAAAGAAAACGTATTTTAATAGGTTGTGTCCAAAATGATTTTATTACCATGAGCCTTATTAAGATCGTTATTGGAAAATTACATCAAAGAATAGGCTTTATCACCCGAAAATTACAGACGAGTATATTTTTGCCACTGGGCCTCAGAAAAAAAAACTTGTATGGAAAGACAATTAGTGGATATCCCTGACGTGACATTTATCAAATATTTTATTTATTTTGAAAAAAAAATTATATCCTTTTATTCATAGTATTTAGTTTTTACAAATTACATTGCGGATAAGCTGAACAGAAATCGGCTGGAGTTATCCCAATACATGTACATTTACATTTGTAGCATGCCTTAACCAATTGTCAAATCGGCGTCAGGGACATATCTGGTGCAATCAATGGCTTCGAATTAGGTACATTTCCGAAAAAAAAAAACTTTTTGGCACCTCAGTTTTTTCCTCGATCTTTTATGCTGCACAGGAGAAAAAAAATATATTCATATTTTTTTTACTAGACTTGAGCTAACGCAAATTACATGTATTTCCTTTGTATAGGGGTTATCAGTCGAAAATACCCCCTGTGCGGTCGAAATTACCCAACATACATATCTTGTAATTCGAACGCATTTAATTCATATTGTGACCAATAAAAATCGATGTAATTTGAAATATAAAAGGTATTTCAAAGGTAAAAGGGTCCAGTAAAAGTTATCCAGTAGCATTATGTAACAATGACATACCTTAACAAATCATACATGTAAGTACAAAAAATTAATCGTTCGAAATAACACCACCGTACCCTAAGCATTAGTTTTATATATCCTGCATATTTGTAACAATGTGGCTATGCAAAAAAGTTTAGAATTAGATTCAAAAGAATTCATGCAAATAACTACTACGCGTTTTATAAAATGCTTTCATGAAAGGAATAACTCTTGCACAATACAATGTATAAATCAACGAAAGAATTATGTGTTGCATGATAGAATGGTAGGATTGAAGAATTCATTGATATTTCTCTTATCTTGACAAGTGTATTGATATTATTTATAGGTATATTGACAAGTTGATTTATTATAAACTTAGAATTATGTAATTCATGAAACTGAATGTTGAGAATGAACATTAAATACCAATGGAACCTGTTTATATGTGAATTCTCTGTATAATCTAGAAACTTCTGTAAATAAAGCAATTCACACCAATATTTTGTCTAAGCCATAAAGATTCAGCTTATGATATTGTACATATCAGATGTTAAATTTATTGTTTTCCGTAAAAATATACAAAATATAAACTTACACATTTTATTACCCAGCATGCCAGTGCTGTTAACAAAATCCACACATAAACATTTATCGAGCGACATTCCATTTTCCATTCATTTGATTGTTATTCTTGTAGACATTTGTGTTCATTTCTTGCAACTAAAAAGCTTGAAAAATAGTCCAAAACGCCATAGAAACAGACGGCCCTGCACATTTAATATGGCGGATCACAACCGAATTCCAAACAACAGAAATCATTGAATCGCTTCACTAGTTAACTGTGCACGGTTTACGAGTGAACAGGCGGAAGAAACAAAAATCAGATATTGATTAAAAGTCAGGTAACAAAAAGACCATTTTTCTCAAAGAGTGAAAAGAATTTTAAAAGTTTCAGAACTAATTCAGGATTCAAGCTAAGAATAAATTGAAAGAGGAGGTAATTTGCCTGCAATGCAATAGCTTATCCGAGACCCGGACATCAACCCATTGATTATACCCAAATTTTAAATACCCTGTATAAAGGACACCTGCTAATATAAGTTGTTTTTTTAAATTTGTGTATACAGAGTAGAATAAAGGGACGACGCTCAAAATCTTAGATATTTGAGCAGATATCGTTTTGTACCTTTTTAAACATCTTGGCATTAAATCGAAATTTCAAATTTATAAAACATGACAACAATATGCTATAAATATTGCATGTACTGTTCTGCTCCAGTAAATTCAAACTTCACAGTATGACACAGACCTCGATTGACAAAGATTTCAATCAATATTCATACTTTTTTAAAAGGCATTGATTTAAAATGATCTTGAAATCATTCATAGGTACCCGAAAAGAAACGGAATGTATTTCTGATCCAATGCTAGACATGACACAATATGTTAAAAATTTGTAAAGCATAGTGGTCAAGTACTTCAAGGTTTACTACCTCTTTTGGACTTTTGCGAGGAGCGCTGATATTTACATTGGACGGCTTACTTTTACACTAGAAAAATGCATGGAAGCTCTTTTACGATGTAAATATTTACCTGAACACTTAATTCATCAAAAGGAAAGGGTTATTTTAAAGCACATATTAGTATAAGTAGTCTTTGAAGAAAACATCACTTCTCTTCCGGGTTATTTCAAAGCACATATTAGTTGTCCTTGAAGAAAACGACAACCATCTACCCTTACATTCTAGCCCTTATAAGTTAGTGCCCCTAGCATCATACAAATGGACACTAGAAAGAATTTCTTATTTAATACTTATACAGCAATATACCTTCCTCAACTGCATACGGAGTTTCTATTTCATAGTTAATTCGGTACGCAAGAACATGCTCTACGTATTGTAAAAATTGTAGAAAAATTTCTACAACAAGGTAAATTATTGACAAGCAAATTGATGAAACAAGAATATCAGCAGTCTCGTTTAAATCATCATTTCGTAAGTTTTATTAAGAAATAAGGTATCATTTAAAAAAAAAACATCTAACGGGATATAAATAAGGGTTGGTACAGTACCCGCATCGTTATTCTTTACAATTCTATCGTGTCCTATCGTGCGTGTATCCTATCGTATCGTGCGTGTATCCTATCGTATCCTATCGTATCGTGTTTTCCGTTTATCAGGTTTTGCGTTTTCTATCGTGTTTTGCGTTTATCGTGTAGATCGTTTATCAGGTTCTATCGTGTATCGTGTTTTGCGTTTATCGTGTACATTCGGGAACCCTCGCTTTTTATTTTTTTACTATAGAAAGAAACAACTGAGCTATTCCGAGTTTCTTTTTCGTTTTGTTAACTAAAATAAGATTACTTCAACCAAAAAGGAGAAAAGAAAGTTTTATCCCTTTCTTTTTCATCCTTAAAAGAAATATTAAAGCGTAGAAGGAAAATAATAAATAAATAGCGTATTTCATGAATAAATTAATCAATTAATTAATAATTAAATAAACAAAATAATTATATCTTGGTAAAGTAGAGATTGATTGTCAAAAATTAAACAGTAACTATATTTTTCGGAATTAAAATTATAATAGATCACCGGTCTTTTTTTTTAAAATAATTTATCGAATTGTATGAATTATTTATTCAAAATTAAATATTTTTAATATGGTTTTCTTAAATGAATAAGAGTTACTGGAGAAAGATTTTTGGTAAGCTACGGTGTATGCGTATCCAAAAAGCAAATAAATGAATAATAAGCAGGATATTGATATGTATCTTTTTTCATGCAATATTCTTTTTTCCCCTTATTTATCGTCTGATAATATAAGTAATATGTTTACGCCTTTAAGCTGCATGTATACAAAATTATTTAAAGTCATCATGTTACAAAATAATAAAACATTAGACATTAATCCAGATGATTTTAACACCAATTTTGGCCGTATACGTTCAAATTTTAAATTAATGTATACAAGGAAAAACATTATGTTTTTTAACAACTTACCTTTTTCGGCGTGAAAATAAACTGAAAATATAATCCATCGGGGTGACAAATAGAAGACCTTTCCATACCAGAAAACTGACACGTATGTGTGGCTCTCTAATCAGCACACTGCCTTCCTGTGCGGTCAACACCCCCTCCCCCTTCTCCCCTAACTGACACCTCGGACCGTGTGTGTGATCATCGTCACCAAACCTTTACTGATTTCTCACCTGGGGTCAATTAGTAACCTCGAATACTACCTGGTTCTCATGAAACGCATCTATTTATTCTCGGGATTGTGTTCCTAACTTGTGTAAACAAACTTATCAAAGATATAATTTAAAATCTATTAAATAATTGTACGATTTATGGATTAAAAAAATTATCTCTTTGCTTGAATTTTAAATAAAAATTCAAATAAATCAATTTAATGAAATGAAGTCCCTAAACTCAATCCGCTGATTTATTTCATTTTGTACAATGGTTCCATTATGCTTATGTAAATACGTCTTTTAATAAACTTAAAAAAAACTGTACTTGTGGTATATGGACTTTCGGATCATCGGGTTTTCTATGTAACGGGGTCAAATTAATTCTAAGAAACAATTTCATTGATCGTAGAAACGGATGAAATACATGTAGTTCTAACATTCTAAACTATGAAAATTAGCTCGCATGATTTTTTTTTTTACGGTATCTTACTATAATAATAAAACAAAAGAAGTCGTCTGATTCCGCCGTGACCATGCAAGACAAGTAAATACACCGAATCAATTTATAATATTAATCGATTTAATTCCATACATGTACGTATATAACTTTATTTAAGAGTTCAATATTATATTTGGCTATTTGGTTAGATCTTGTTTCTATTTTTAAATTGGTTACGGATTTTTAACATCCCGCCCTTCGAATATGCCTCATATTAGATTACCGGGTCTAAAATGATTTTCAGGGTTTAATAATTCATTTGCCGACTTAAACCTATTTTTTGTTATTATTAGAAACAGTACACACAAAGCTAAGTAGCAATGACTTGTAATTATTTAGTCAGAAAAGTCGCATGTCACTCTTTTAATATTTGTTGATTAATTTTTGTGTT